CGCGGCGGATTGCTCAGGTCAGGAGTTCAAACCAGCCTGAGCAAGAGCGAACCCGTCTCTACTATAAATAGAAGAAATTAATTGGCCATGATATATTATAAAATTAGCCAGGCATGGTGGCGCATGCCTGTAGTCCCAGCTCGGAGGCTGAGGCAGAAGGCACTCAGCCCAGGAGTTGAGGTGCTGTGAGCTAGGCTGACGCCACGCACTCACCTCTAGCGCCTGACACCAAGCGAGACTCTGTCTCAAAAAAAAAAAAAAAAAAGGAGGAGACTTAATCAGAGGAGAAGGCAATATGACAGCAGCGCAAAGAGAGATGGAAGGGCCAATGAGCAACAATGCACAGATGCAATTACAGAGCTGGAAGGCAAAAGTAGAATCTCCCTAGAGCCTCCAGAGAGGTTGAGTGGCTCTGCTGACACGCTGACTTTATCCCAGTGAAACTGATTTGGATTCTGACCTCCAGAACTATGAGAAAATATACATGTTGCTTTAGCTCTAGTTGTGATTGGTACCACAGATAGACACTCACAGTATTCCCAGGACCCCTCCATTCCTCTACTTGTTTATTTAGTTGGCTTAGTCCCACCAGCTTGAGCTCAGTTCTAGTACTAGCTGAAAGCACCTGTCTTAAGAAGATGGTTGCATAGAATAAGCTCTTTTAATGCTGCTGACATGAGCCTGTTAGCCAGAGGTGATGCTGGTACTTACACATGAAGAGAAATGTCACGAAATGTAAAGACAGAGAGATCTTCTTTTGTAACACTACCCAGCTACTACAGTCTCAAAGTGCTTTCTCTCTCAGTTTGGAACTCCACCTTATAGTTAATGCCAGCAGTTTCAAATCCCCTCTCTGGAGTCATAACTACATTTAAGCTCAGACTGCCATTATCTGTCTGTGTGACTTTGCACAAGTTCCTTGAGTTTTATAGTTTCCTTCTCTCAAAAAACAAGTTATAATAATAATACCCACCTCAAGAGTTGTTGTGCAGAGTGAAATAATGTAGGCAAAATGTTTGTGGAAATACCAACATGTAGTAAGTTCTCGAATTGACCACCATCATCACATGACTATCTCATTATCATTACTAATACTAATAATTATTAAATTTTAGCTTTGTTTACCCAATCAGCTTTTTTAATCAGTTATTTGAATATGAACTCTTACTTTTTGAGTACATTCACTCTATATAATTTAATAATTTTAAAGTTGAATTGATTGTTTCTCTGGAACTTTTTGTGGTGTCTTCATAAGTCAATAACAAACTTTTTAAACTAAATATGAGGATCTATCCAGATACATTCTATAGAACATATATTAATCCAGGTTAGTCTGATAAATTATCATAGTTATAAAGATTATGTTCTCTCATGACACAAAGCTAATATAATTCAGTAGGCTGCCAGTATCATCCACAAAATATATTAATAACCTGACATCATGGAATGTGATTGGACCTTAATGTATAAAATACTCATAAACCATTTTCATACCCTTTCTGTTCTACACATTCTCTTCATTATCCATTTTTCATCTTATCTCTTGCACTCCCACATATAATCTACTTCTAGCTACTCAAAACTTCTTACCACTTTCCAATTTCAGGTTTCTCACCTTTTTGGACTTAGCACAGAAATACCATTTTTTTAAATGAAACTTTCTAGAATTTACTTCCTTCTCCTGATCTTAGCTTTTTGTGCATATTTCCATTAACCATTTACACAGTATGTGGTAACTATTGGATGAGCTCTTCTTTCTTACTGATCTTAAAACAACTTGAGAACTCGAGTCTTACTTCATGTTTCTTGTATCTCGATTACCTAGCCAAATATCTAAAAGTATCTCCTCAATAAAGTGTTGGATTAATGCATGCATAAGTACAATGTTCAATACTTTATAGCAAGATATTTAACAACTCAAATCTTAATTGTTTACATGTTAAAATTAGAGAAGTCTTGATAAGTTTTATTAGCTCCCAACTTACCTGAATAGGTCACCGCAGCATATAAGAAGGGATACCCATTGGATGAAAAATGGTCCTTGAGGTGTTTAATAATATTGTCAACTTTAAAAGACATTTATATTCCGGCCCACAGTAATACAACTTTTACTGTAAATGAAAAGAGAAAGAATGAATGATAGTCAGATTGAAGAAGGCACATAACTTCGTTTCACAAAGATGGACTTTATATAGCTCACTCCCCACTCTACAAATAGGAATCAAATGCTCAATACTTACATGTTAAAATAAAAACTACTATTACAAATTATTATCTGTTCATAAATTATAGGAAGGAAATACAGTATTTAAAACTAATTAATATAAGGTAAACTTTTTTCTTTTACATCTACAGACTTTACATTTTTTGGAAAAGATGTGATAACTAAGATGGGTATGGAATGTGCACTGCAAGCCAAAAAGTTTGTATATTCTAGATGCCTGAATAACAGTTTATTATAAGTTAAATGAGACTTTTCAATAATTCCATAACAAAATTTTACTAGGTATTGGTGATGCTAAGGTCTCTGAACTTGTAAACTTGTTTTCACCGTTCTCTATCAACAACAGAATGGTTTCACAGATGTTGAATTATCGCAAGGCTATTTTAATTGTGTTATGGGTGCAAAAAGCTATGGAATATATTTTAAAACTTTCATAGCAGTGATCTTAAGATTTGGAAAGGGAGGTGTGTTAAGGGATTGCAAGCTCATGTAGTATAGGACCAAGACACTATTTTTTAAATCACCAAGTGTTTGTTATAAGTTACAGTATCAGGAATGGCAGATATCTGAAAATGGGGATTCCTTGTGTAATGGTAATACTCAGGACTCCAATCCAGAAATATCCAAAATGAAACCAATTTACAATGAATAAAAATGAGAGATAGCCACTCCATCAGCTATAATTGGGCTTAATTAGTTTTCTTCCTTCTTCCTTTTTTCTTGTGTGGACACCACACAAGGGTAAACTATTCCACTGGATTCAAAGCTACATTTACCAGCCAGTCTAAGCTGCTATTATTATTGTTAAATCATGGCCCATGCTCTTCATTCTGTGGATGGAAACTCTCTCAAACTCATGGATAGAGAGGAAAGGGAACTATCAGTTAATAGTGCAAATGGAATAGTTCCACTATAGTGTAACCCACTATATTGCTTCTTCCTTTGCTTATTACCAAGAATATAATAAAACTAAAATAATGCCATCAACATTATTTATATGTCTTTAACATTAACCTACAATAAAAGACAACAATGATTTTCAGAAGCTAAATATAGGTTAACCGTAAACAGTCTACAGAAATACATGAAAGCAACATGGTATGTGGAATGAGCAGTGGATACAAAACTAGAGAATCTGGAGATTATTACAACAAATTTAATTCCAAATTACATGCAAAGAATTCTAATTTTTGTCAAGAATTTCTCCATTTTCTGAGTTCCTAAATGTTTTTAAAACCATAAAGTAATTGATTAAAAAATAATATTAATTTAAAATTTACTGATGCTCATTTATTGAGGAAGAATAAACACTACAAATGAAAGCTTTCACACTAGTTAGAGTGTAACTACAAGTGGTATAACTACAGAGTTTTGTGGATAAGGGAAAAAGAAGTAATATCAAATATAACAGGTCTCAAACAAAAATAAACATAAGAAGCAACCATTCTTTGAAATGAAATTAAATATCTGATCTTCCCAGGTAATACCTGTTGCTAAAGAATCTTTCAGTTGATTTTTGCAAAGACTCCTTTATCGCTTTTATTTTATCCAAAATGACAGAGTATCCATCACTTAGAGTTTGCACTTCAGTCCGCTCTTCAGAAGGTCTTGGAGTGAGTGAACTTTGTGTGGATGACACATCTTTTTCCAAGCTTTGGTCTTCATCAACTGGTCCCAGGCTTGAAGAGCTTTGGTACCTCTGCTCCTCATGAGGTACTTTCTGGTACTTACTAAATAGTTCTAATTCAGATTCTGTTTTTCAATTTCATCTGACTCTGAGGCTCTTCTGAGGGAACTGGATATTGACACTGTTGGATC